ACTAATGAATTAAAATGTATTTCGACTTCTTTGAATTACGTGACGGTAATCCCACTATTGTGTAGAGATGAAATCCAAGTTTAATATTTTGGTGTAAAATCCAAGTTTAACACTTTAACTAAGGCTTCTATTATAGAGTAATGCTATTTGCAGTCGCTCACTGATTACTTTAATCACGCTACGTGGCATACATCTGGTGGTTAATAATTTGATGTATTACCTCATGCATCAAACTTTAACCGTCACATGTATGTCACGTAGAGTGATTACGATAGTGAGCGATTGCAAATGACATAATTCTATATTATACCTCCACTTTTTACTAGTTTAGGCCAATTTTCTTCCTCTTTCCAAAATTCTATTTGCCTTCCTATTCGCCAAGCAAAAAACGAATCTTATAACCTAAGATCTATTTAAAAGGAAAGGAAAAACTTGAACAACGGGCTACAATAAACACCTAACTCGATTCACATGCTCTCTACGAAGTGGAGGAAGCTTTTGTGAATGTCAAAAAAAGAATTTATTCTTTTAACACGAGATATTCTTATAATTTATCGCAACAAACTAGTCTATGCCTTCAAATTTGTCAAATTAAAAAGTAGAATCACGAATTCTTTTCCAGTAATGTTGGTGACCTTATTTGAATTTACTGGTCGTGCGATTTAATAATTTAAATATAATATAAACTAGTTAAATAATTCTTTTTATTTATGTGAGTTTACAAAAAAAATCTTGGGAAATTTTCATAATAGGTTTAGTTTTACCCATTTCAAATTTAAGAGATAAAATTTAAAATTTCATATTTTTATAATTTTTTTTATAAATAAATAAATTAAACATATATTTTATTAATTAAATATATTCAGGTCACAATTCCATTTAATTTGGTCACAAATTCTATATAATTGGTTACATATTATTAATTAATCACAAATTTTACATGTCACAAATTATTTTACGGTCACAATTCAAAAAATTTATAGGTCACAATTTGTTTGTTGGTCACAAATAAAAAATTGAAACTCACAAATTATTTTACGGTGACAATTCAAAACTTTTATATGTCACAATTTGTTCATCGGAAACAAATCAAAAATTTTATAGGTCACAAATTATTTTATGGTCACAATTCAGAAATTTTATAAGTCACAATTTTTTCATCGGTCACAAATAAAAGAATTGAAACGTCACAACTTATTCATTGGTCACAAATCACAAACATTATAAGTCACAATTAGTAGACAGTCACAAATTGTCAAATTATCGGTCACAAATTAACAATTTTTTAGGTCACACATTATTTTTTGGTCACAATTTATCTTTTTCATTGATCAAATATTATTTATCCATCACATATTAATCAATTTAATGGTCACAANATATTTTTCATTGGTCACATTTTGTAGGCTCAGTCGTGGTCCGCAAGCTCCAGTCTCTGGGATACACCAATATCCTCATCTGCACCACTTACAGCTCGACCTCACCATCTAATCCGACGTTGACGACTTATTCGCCGCCCACAAGCCCTACTATGTCATCCTCATTGCCGCTAAGGTCGGCAGCCTCCATGCTAATAATACCTACCCCACCAACTTTATCACCATCAATCTTCGAATCCAGACCAATATAATTACCTCTACATTTAAACATAATACTAAAAAACTATTCTTCCTCGGCTCATCCTGCATTTACCTCAAATTCTCCCTCAACCCATCCTTAAGAATGCACTTGATATGGTCATTTTCTTATCAACCCTGAACAACAATCCTCGAGGCTATTTTCGGTCATCTTGGGAGTTTGCTCAATGTGTCCTCTTCGAGCTCCTTTGTCGGGCTTTATTGTCGCACGTGACGATTCCACTTCATCTCAGATTTTTATCTTTATCTCATTCTCTATTTCAAAAGACATACCTTAGTTGGACTCTACTTCCATCATCACACTTATCGAACTCCAATAAGATTGGATCCTAACTAGCTTACAACTCCTCATATTGAAATACTCAAGTCTTTTACATCTCCTAAATAGATAGGTTTTCAAGTATCATAATTCTATAAAGAGTGTGCTACGTACATCTATAAATACAGGTTCTAGTTCATTATTCAGTTATGTTTTTACATTCAATTTATAGTCGTACACTTATATTTCCCCGTTTCTCTAATTTAAGCATATGAGGGGTGACAAGGGCACACCTTGAAGCCTTTGTTTCAGGTGTTGGAGATTTGGTTCATGATCATCCTCAATCTTCAAACTCAAGAATCGACGGGTGAAGATTTTTCGTAATATCATTGGCGCTATTTGTGGGAAACGATACATTAACCATGTTCTGACCAGTTTCAAAAGGTCACCAAGAATGGATAATTTATTTTTTGGGCAGTGTTATCTATAAAAAAACATATCTAGAAAAGGAAGATTCGACATAAAATACAATTGGAATATGAGAAGATTTGAGAAAGATAAAACAATTTTTCAAGATTTTCACTTAGAGAGAAGCTGTTGTCCAAAGATCCAAGCTCCTTCTATTGCCAAAATGTATAGGATTTGTCTCTGCCATCTATTGTTGAAGCCACTGTATACATTGATCAAGAATATTGAGGCATCCGCAGCCTTATATCCCTCGACAATGGTTGTCAAAACGGTGGCATCTCGAGCTATCCACATAGCAGTCAACTTTGACAACGGCAACATGGTGGCACCATACTGTTTCAACGTTGAACTTTTAGTTGCTTGAGTGAACAAGAACTTTCAATTTTCCTTGAAATTTTTGGGTTTGTATATATTTTGGGCGAGCTAGAAACAATATTTGTAAAAAAAAGAAAAAAAATATTACAACGCACTCCAGGTGTTCGATGTATTCCCAACTTAAATTTAGTTCACTCCAAGGCCTTATCTATCACCTGTTCGATGAAATATCTCAACCAAAGTTTAGCTCCAAGCTACAGCTTTTGAGATGGATGCAAACAATTGCAACACATACCGGTACTAATAAGAAGACGACAAGAGCATCCAGAATTTATTTTCCTTGGGCCATTCAATTTTATTTTCTTTAATGGGCTTCAACGAATTTGGGTATAATGTTTACACATTGTTGGGCGCACTAGTTTTTCATCCTTTGGCCTCGTAACTTTTAACTTGACTAAAGATTTTAGGCTTATTGATTTTGAGTCGACAGGTGGGGGACTTTGTGGCTGGGAAGGAACGAAGGAAATGGTAGTGTGTAATTGATCGGTTGGGCTGTTGATTTGGTAGAGGCGGTGTAGAGGAGATGTTGTTTGCGGTGTATGAGGAGTCGTGTGGTAGCTCAACAGCTCAAGGAGTGTCTGCGTCAGAAAGGTTGTATGCGATTGCTGCTTGGGGTGCCCGTGAGGAGTTGGAGTGGTGGGATTGGTTGCCGGCGACGAAGGTGGTTGCTGATGAGAGGGATTCTTTGTTGAAGTAGGGTTTTGGGAGATCGGAAAGTGCGTGAAGAAATGTGTGATAGCGAGATGACTGTAAATTATCTGGTG